ACAAAGCCTACGGTCTACTTTTATTTCGAGTTCGAGCAATCACTCACTAGACCATTAAGCTTACGGGCTACTTTGACTATTACTCCTACGGGCTACATTGCATCGAGTTCGAAATATTCCCTCGACTGCCAAGCCTACGGGCTACCTTTATTTCGAGTTCGAGCCATCACTCACTCGACCATTAAGCCTACGGGCTACTTTGACTGTTACTCCTACGGGCTACATTGAATCGAATTCGAATCATTCGCTTGACTGACAAGCCTACAGACTACCTTTATTTCGAGTTCGAGCAATCACTCACTTGACTATTAAGCCTACGGGCTACTTTGACTATTACTTCTACGGGCTACATTGCATCGAGTTTGAATCATTCGCTCGACTGCGAAGCCTACAGGCTACCTTTATTTCGAGTTCGAGCAATCACTCACTCGACCATTAAGCCTACGGGCTACTTTGACTGTTACTCCTACGGGCTACATTGCATCGAGTTCTAATCATTCGCTCGACTGCCAAGCCTACGGGCTACCTTTATTTCGGGTTCGAGCAAACACTCACTCGACCATTAAGCCTATGGGCTACTTTGACTATTACGCATATGGTCTACATTGCATCGAGTTCGAATCATTCGCTCGACTGCCAAGCCTACGGGCTACCTTTATTTCGGGTTCGAGCAAACACTCACTCGACTATTAAGCCTATGGGCTACTTTGACTATTACGCCTACGGGCTACATTGCATCGAGTTCGAATCATTCGCTCGACTGCCAAGCCTACAGACTACCTTTATTTCGAGTCCGAGCAATCACTCACTCAACCATTAAGCCTACGGGCTACTTTGACTATTTCGCCTACGGGCTAAATTGCATTAAGTTCGAATCATTCGCTCGACTGCCAAGCCTACGGGCTACCTTTATTTCGAGTTCGAGCAATCACTCACTCGACCATTAAGCCTACGGGCTACTTTGACTGTTACTCCTACGGGCTACATTGCATCGAGTTCGAATCATTCGCTCGACTGCCAAGCCTACGGGCTACCTTTATTTCGAGTTCGAGCAATCACTCACTCGACCATTAAGCCTACGGGCTACTTTGACTATTACTCCTACGGGCTACATTGCATCTAGTTCGAATCATTCGCTCGACTGCCAAGCCTACAGGCTACCTTTATTTTGAGTTCGAGCAGTCACTCACTCGACCATTAAGCCTACGGGCTACTATGACTGTTACTCCTACGGGCTACATTGCATCGAGTTCTAATCATTCGCTCGACTGCCATGCCTACGGGCTACCTTTATTTCGGGTTCGAGCAAATACTCATTCGACCATTAAGCCTATGGGCTACTTTGACTATTACACCTACGGGCTATATTGCATCAAGTTCGAATCATTTCCTCGACTTCCAAGCCTATGGGCTACCTTTATTTCGAGTTCGAGCAATCACTCACTTGACCATTAAGCCTACGGGCTACTTTGACTGTTACGCCTATGGGCTACATTGCATGGAGTTCGAATCATTCACTCGAATGCTAAGACTACGGGCTACCTTTATTTCGAGTTCGAGCAATCACTCACTCGACCATTACAACTACGGGCTACATCGTATCGAGTTCGAATCACTCACTGGACTACTAAGCCTACAGGCTACATTTATTTCAAGTTCGATCAATCACTCACTCGACTATTACCCATACGGGCTACATTATTTCGAGAAAAACTACGCATTTCTTCGAATTAAATCAAACACTTATCTATTTATGCTGAAGGACACTCGAGCCCGATAAAGCAAAGGGGACTACCTACGAGGCCCGAAGGCAACGGAGATTTAAATTCAAACTATCTATTTAGTTTGAAAGGCCATTTATCTTCAAAAGGAAGAAAGGTTTATATTTACAAATATTTTGTACAGAGGCGGCTACTCTTCCAAAAGGAAGTTCTTTATACAAAAACCGAAAGCGGTATCACAATAACGTAGTGATCGACCTAAGGCCCTAAATGACTCAATCTTCATCAGAGGCCGCATTCTTGGCATCGTCCTCGTCTTCAGACTCCCCCGAGTCATCGGAGTCCTCCTCAGGAAAGGCCAACCTTAGAGCTCTGTTCTCCTCCGCCTTGGCGACTTCAATCTCAGCCCCCTCGGGAGCCTCTACCCGAGCCTGCAACTTTGCATGTTCGACCATGCCCGCTGCTTTGGCTTGATTAACTTCGACATCAATCCTGAACTGAGTCACTTTGGTATTGGCTCTTTTGTTGGCCTCGACCACTTTAGATCTGGCCACTTCAGGTTCTTTGGCCAAATCTGCTTTATCTAAAGTGGCCAAATCTAACCGATGCTGAAACTCTTTCATCTTTTCGATCAGCCCCAAAACATTTCCCTTCGCAGATCGAAGTTGGGCATTAGACAGATCCAACTGAGCTTCGACGGCTTCCTTTTTTTTCGAGGCAAGGTTATCCATACACCTTTTCAATTCTTCTCGGCCGGCAGCGCATCTACCTGTGAGTTAAGCGGTCCAATCTGCTCGATCCTCTGCCGAACTTGCAGAATTGGATCGTTAGTGGTTATCTCTTTTTCATCTTCACTATCATGAAACATTAGAATTACCTACAACTCTGTGTAAAAGAAGCGGCGAAAACGCCATCAGAGTTACCCGATTAAAAGCATGTTGGACCTTGTTGAAAAGACAGGCGGGCCCCACCACATTCATCACTGATTGATCTTCTCCGGTCACCAAGGACCGAAGGTAACTGGCAATCCCCACAGGGGAAGAAAAAATTCGGGTATCCTCAATAAAGTTGGGGACTGTAAAGACGCATAAGATGATCGAGTATTACATACGTCATGATTGGGTTCGATAAAAAGATCAGTGTATATATGATCGAGCTACTGGGAAATCATATCGTTTATCGCCACATCCTTTTTCGAGAAACGAGGGGACTATTTGTATACGGTCGAAATAGATTTCGGCCTTCCTACGTTCAATCGAGTTCGAGTGTTAAAAAGTCGGAATAAAATTTTGGGAGTGAGCTTTGAGGTTGGTACTAACGAGCCTCCAACTCGAAGGTCGCTCGAGGAGTCGGTTTGATAATCCTGTCGAGCCCGTGACGGAATCGATCCGCAAGGCACTACTTCGAGGTCGGAAATGCGCGACGCCCATCTCGAAGGTCGAACTTGAGCCAAGACCGAAGGGCCCGACCCAGTAACGAGTTCGAGTTAGTATCGAGCTCACAGACAAGAGTTGTTGCAACCGCACCAAGAGAGAGAATCTTGGCGGGAATCAAGGAAGAGACAAGTCATCATGGACCTTCCACTATATATTTTATTTTATTAATTTTTATAATGACCCTCTTCTATAAAAGGGGAATCCTTGTAAGCTAATGGGGCAGCAACAAAAGATCACGTCTTATATTGATAGTTATCCCCTTGTGCTTGTTTTACTTATTCATTCTTTTTGCTTATTATTTTCATTCTCATAGTCAACAATACGCATATTTCTATTTCTCTACACGATTTATATCGAATTGTATCGCATATCCTTAGAACCATACACAAATCTAACGTTATCTGATTTTTCTGGTAAACAAAAGTACAAGCAATACTAGATTAAATTGGTAATTGCATTCAAGTGTGACTGAATTATATACATTACTAGTTTAAATTAGAGCTCACATTCAAAGGATTATAATATTATTATTTTCTTCATTTTTTTCGTTACCTTTTATCTCATTTATCACTCTAATTTTGTACTCTTTGTCGTACTATTCTTATGGGTGGGTTGATCGTGGATTGAATTCTTAAGTAATATAAATTGAGTGTTACTTAATTATATCATCTAAATTGAACTTAATGTATATATATATGACAGATTATTGTCAGTAGATATGTATTTGATGCTAAATTTGTTATTTTTACATTCCTTAATAGCGTATTTTCAATATTTATTTAATTTTTAAAAGAGACACTGAAACTTCACATATCCGTGAGTTTTTAAAAACTGTTCTTAAGGTGGTATGTTTCCCAATTTTTTTGATAGGCCATAATTTTTGCTGGTCGTGGTATTAATTACACATAATATTTTTGATAGGCCAAAGAAAAAGGGTCTAGAAATATCAGAAAACCTTAATTTTTGCTAGTCGTAGTATTAATTACACATAATATCATGGTTTCTGATGGTTCTGCAGTCAGACGTATCCTTGTTGCACTCATTCATATGTTTCCACAAAAATGTCATTGAAACAATGAAAAAGAATTTTTTTTTTTTTACTAAACCCTTGTAGCCTTTGTTATGAATATCGAACAAGTGGATACAGAGGCTTTGTACGAGGATGATAATTTTTCATAAAATATATAGTACGTATTTCATGAAACTGAATTAGGTAAAGACTTTTCTTTCTCTTTTCTGAGTGCAATTGTAAGACCAAGATTAAAAATTTCCCGAATCACCTTTTAACGAAAGAAATAAAAGGCTGAGAAGGAATACACTAAAAAACTTACCAAATATTTGTCTTAGAGTTGAGCGGGAATCAGATTTATTAACAACAACTTACTATTGCTTGTCTTAGAGTTGAGCGGGAATCAGATTTATTAACAACAACTTACTATTGCTTGTCTTAGAGTTGAGCGGGAATCAGATTTATTAACAACAACTTACTATTGCTTGTCTTAGAGTTGAGCGGGAATCAGATTTATTAACAACAACTTACTATTGCTAGAGAAGGAATACAATCAACAACTGACCAAATATTCATCATAGAGTTGGAAGGGAATCAAATTTTACTAATAACAACTTATTATATATTTTAGAATTTACAAAAAATAGAACTTTGATATTTGCAGTAAAATTGGGAATAAATCAGATTTTCTCTGGTTCAGATTAGATTTTATTTTAGTAAAGTTGATAACAACTTTTGACCCTAGAGCCCCTTGTCCCTCCTATATATAGTGATATTTTTTATCAATCACCATCATTCTCAATACAACTCAGCCTATTTGCAGAGATGAGGAGGGCTACCAACACTGAAGAGAACGACGATGACGATGATGGAATCCAATTCTAGCATGAATCCTCTTCATGGATTTTTCGACATTGAGCTTGAGCTTTCGACATTAACTCTTTTTTCTTCCTTTCCTCCGATGGTAGCCTTGAGCTTTCTCGTCTCTTGTTGCAAGTTCAACCCATTGCATGTCGATCGTATTTATCCTTTAAAGTACGATCAGAATTATCTAGGAGGTTCATCAGCAGGTAATTAAGCAACAATGAATTGTTTGTTGGTTATTTTCTTGAGTCCATATCTACTCTAAATTCTGACCCTCTTTTTTTCATATATTCGTCTCAGGTCTTTCGCTAGTTTTTGGCGGACCAATCACAAGTTTGGGCACCTGCAAAATCTCTCGGAGATGTAAAAGTTTACAGCTGAATCCTGAGCCTTCTTTGGGAAGAAGCATGAAAACTTCTTAGTAATCACAGTTTTCAGTAGCAACATTCATCTCTTGAATTGATCGTAAGGATAGAAGGATTGGGAAAAGACCCGTGAGAAGAACAACAGTGACAGACCAACTTTAATATGGGAGATATGTGAAGAATTTAACAAAATAATAAGTAGATGCCATGCATAATGATTTAGACTTTGACTGTTAGACAATCAGAAGGAATTAATTTGTATGGGAAAAGAGAGGACTTTTTTCTGGCCATTAGCTTCATTGTGTAAAATGTAAACTGGTATAGTAATATGCATTTCCATTTATCGTCTTGATTATTTAAAGTGAATTCCCACATTTGCAGCCTCATCTTTAATTTGATAGTTTACCATCTAAAGAGCCATTTACTTTAGACTTTCTTCATCACGATTTAACGTTTAGGTCTATAATTTAAAGAAGCATGGAATGGAATAAGGGAACGTATCAAATAATAAAAATATAGCTTTGCTACCGAAACAGAAGCTAACATGCACAGATCTGAATTTTCCTTTTAGTTACAACTTACTCCAATATATGCTTAACTAAATATTATTTTTGCTCTAACGTTGTCAGCCCCTGTATATACACCATGAGATCACGAGGGGATTTTGATCTGATGGTTGTGAGTCGAAGGGG